TATTTTTCATCTTTATAATTTCTATTTTGTTCTTTTTAAAATATGCTGTAATATTTGAGTGTAGTTTTCATTTCTTCACAAAAATTCTCAATTTCCTTGGACATAATAAGCATAGTTATTTTAAACTCTGTATCTCCCTATGGTTCTGTTTTTATTAATTGCTGTTTCTACAGGTCCTCATTTATGTTCTCTTGGTTCTTTGTGAATCTGATTTTTTAAAAAAACTTTGTGCCAGACATTGTATTTGAAAAATTGTTTTGAAAAATAATTTGAGAGCCAGGATGAAGTTATCTTCCTCTGGAGGAAATTTATATTTGTTTCTGTCAGAGGCTTGAGGCAACACTCTGGGATCACTTTAATTCAATGTCAGGAAACAAGATAATATGAAGCTGTGTTTGAATGTGCTGGTTTAGGTCTACTTTGGGATAACCCCTACTCCTAAGATGTAGCCATTTGAGTCTCATCTAATAACCTCCCATTGGAAAGCTCTGGATTCCAAATTTTGAATCCTTAGCCTCCACAAAACTATCAAAAGTCCTGATCAGACTCTAAGCCTCTCCTCAGATACTTCTAGAATTGGTAAAATTCTCTTCCCCACCCCAACCCGTCACAAGGTAGGGAAATATGGGGTTTACCTCTTTGGATTTATATCTTTTCCCAGATACTGATAGTAACTCTTTACTATCTCTATAGCTCTCTATAGCCTTTGGGAAGATGTTTTTTATATTTTTCCAGCTTCTCTAGTTGTCTTCCAAGGGAGGGTTACTTTGAATTACCTAGATGCTATTATCAAAAGAGGAAGACCACTTGAAAGTTTTTTTTAACATTTTTTTAATTAAGTTATAGTCATTTTACAATGTTGTATCAAATTCCAGTATAGAGCACAATTTTTCAGTTTTACAAGAACATATATATATTCATTGTCACTTTTTTTTTGTGGTAGCTGTGAGCTACCACAAGATCTTGTATATATCTCCCTGTACTGTACAGTATAATCTTGTTTATCTATTCTACATTTTAAAATCCCAGTCTGTCCCTTCCCACTCCCTGCCCCCTTGTCAACCACAAGTTTGTATTCTATGTCTATGAGTCTATTTCTGTTCTGTATTTATGTTCTTTTTTTTTTTTTTAGATTCCTCATATGAGTGATCTCATATGGTATTTTTCTTTCTCTTTATGGCTTACTTCACTTAGAATGACATTCTCCAGGAACATCCATGTTGCTGCAAATGGCGTTATGTTGTCATTTTTTGTGGCCGAATAGTATTCCATTGTATAAATATACCACATCTTCTTTATCCAGTCATCTGTTGATGGACATTTGG